ACAATGCTGTGTGCACGAGTGTGTGGTATGCACAAAACAAAAAAACAGGCACAGAGACAGGCAAGGTGAAAAGTAAGCACAGGCTCTTTTAGGTCTATGGTTTTATATATCAGGACATAATGATGAAAAAATAGTCTGGTCCTTATTAAATATAGCATGGTATTCATGTAGAGGTATACATCTTTATTTTAAAGTCATTCTGATCTAATTTTTTTAAATGTCAAAAATAATAAAGCCTAGTAGGATTGCAGATGTGTTGTAAAGGTCACTGCCCCCATCGCAGATCGAAGAGGGGGAATTGGAATTGTCCTGCGTCTGTACTTTTGTCCGTCTTTTCTTCCTTCCGTGGATGTGAGCACGAGAACTTGAAAAATCAGTGAGCTACTTATTTCCATTTGGGTGTGTGGCTACATCTAGGCATAAGAAAGTTTCCTATTGATAATTGGGTTTCCACATCAAAATCCAAGATGGCCACCTCCATATATATGTATGTAAACCAACCATTCCTATTATTTACGGAAACCACGCTTTAGTTTTTATATTGCATAAAAGTATAGTTTCCTCAAATGACTTGGGTGGCTGAAGATTAATCTATGGTGGCCAAGGCCCCCACTGGCCACCCCCTGGCACTGCCACTGCCCCTGTTGGTGGATAAAATACAGTGTAACTCAGTGTACCCACTTGAATATCTTGCACCAAATATATTAAGGTTTACTCATTCCTTGTTCATTTCCAGTTCAGAAAAACACTCATTTTGAAAACTACAAACATTCATTATTCAAATCCCTCAGTGACGGGGGACGTCGGTGAACCACTTGTTTTTTTGGTAAACAAATTCTTTGACTGGAAGTTTTGTCCGTTTCTATGTAATGTGGGAAGCTTTAGCACGCTGACGAGAGAAGATTAGTCCTGGTAACTTCTGACAAAACAGCCATACTTGTTTGTTTTTGTTGCTGTTGTTGTTTATTTCTTAACGTATGCATTGCAATAAGCTATATTTATTTATCTGCAATTTATCTTTTCTGTTTTTAAATGGAAACCTAAGGTTTCCCACTCTAATTTTAATATCCATCCATCCATCCATCCATCCATCCATCCATCCATCTATCCATCTACCTATCCGTCTGTCCGTCCGTCTATTCATTCATTCATTCATTCATTCATCATATTTACCCACTTCTTTTTTGGGTCGCTGGTGCCCATATCCAGCAGTCATTGTGTGAGAGGCGGGGGACACCCTGGACAGGTCTCCAGTCCATCACAGGGACACATAGAGACAAACGAGACAAACTCTCTCACTCACACCTAGGGACATTTTTGAGTTACCAATCAGCCTAACATGCATGTTTTTGGTCTGTGGGAAGAAACTGGAGCGCCCGGAGAAAACCCACACATGCACAGAGAGAACATGCAAACTCCACCCAGAAATGTCCCCGCCGGGATTTGATCCAGCGACCTTTTCGCTGAGAGGCAACAGCTCTACCAACTCCACCACCGTGTCACCAAATTTTTGTTGATCTTTTAAAATTTGTGATATTGTAGTTCAACTGAGATTATGTTTGTCTAAATAAAAATAGTGCAAGTAAAATGTTCTATAGTTTTATTATTTAGATTTATTTGTTTATTTTATAGAAATTTGAAATGGAAAGAACAATGCTCTGTAAATGTATCTGTGACGTGCAAGAATTGTGGAAGTAACTTCTATTTTTTTTATTGACTGACAAATTAAAACACATAAATATGGTGCCCTTATTGGACCGAGTTTCAGATGCACATCTGAACTCAATGTAGGAATTTTAATTAAACGCACACAGTTATAATGAAATCAGGAAAACGAACATGGAAAGAAGGGGTAGTAAAAAATGTGAATAAATATTGGAAACATGAAAAACCTGTAGCAGAATGAAATGATTAAAACAAGATAATCATAGGTGAAAGAAGAACAAAGAAAAGTGAAAGATAAATAGTTACAGGCCAGTGCGCTTGTTATTTAAAGACATGTCAGAGTCGACAGACTGAGAGGAGGAGAGGAGGACAAGCATCGGTCTTGTTGTCAACAAAAGCCTCCAAATGAGGACAATAATGAACCACCTACACACTGTCAACCAACTTTCTCCTCTTCACTGTCTGTTTCGCCCTTTGTCTTACATTGTATCCCTTTTTGTGCCACGGTTTACGCTCTGCATATCTTTTCCAAGATGGTGGACATTTAATATTTGCACTGTCTCATGATGTGCAGGCTTTGGTTGTAAGTTTGGAAAAGTTGTCTCTTTATTTATTTTTTCTCCGTCACTGTTGCTTTCACGTTCTTGTTTCTCAACCCTGTCTTTATTCACACATTTATGTACTGTATGGAATTCAGTGTCAAGTGTTAGAAATACCCCACCCCCCCAAAAAAATATATATATTACCGTATTTTTCAGACTATAAGGGGCACTGGATTATAAGGCGCATTAAGCAAAACAAAACAGTCACATTAGTCGAACTTTATTCAACTCGTTCACAATAACTCTCAATAAGGGTTAAACGACTACATATTTTTAAAAGTCGACTTTAACATGATAAAAGTGGAGTCGACTTTGACTAGTCGATGACGTCATAGGAACTCAAGGCGCTATATCATATGTGCAAAACATAAATATTAGGAAAAAAAAGCTCATTTATTATTTACAAAAAAAGAACAACAAAATATTGGGCGTATATTTATGCTCCTACCATTGATCATACTGCAAATAAGTCAAAGGAAAAGCAAAACTATTATCAAGCTGCAAAAATGCTGCTGTTTTTAGTTTTATTTTATTTAATCCACCACGTGGATTGGGTGGAATAGGGTTGGGAACAGCGGGGAAGAGGGGAAGGGGTGCGACTAGTCGACGTGAAATATAAAAACTTGCGAGATGATCTAGAATCGACTAGTTGACTAGTCAGTTAGTCCATTCAACCCCTAACTCTCAACATTGTTCAGTTGTACCACATGAAATCGGTTTGAGATCAGTAAGCACAACCAAAATTAATACATAAGGCGCACGGGATTATAAGGCTCACTGTCAATTTCTGAGAAAATTTAAGGATTTTAAGTGCACCTTATAGTCCGAAAAATACGGTACATTTTTTTGACTGCAATTTGTTATGTTGACCTGAATACCCAGAGACAAGGACTGAGGGTTGAAAAAACTTCACGAGGATGCTATTGTTGTTAGATTCCAGATCTTACTGTAGGTTGGATAGTAGGGCATGTGGTTGGAAGGCAGCTGAGGAGACACAAGAGATTTCCAGGGGTTCTTCAGAGAAGTCCAGGCACAGGTAGTTCACGAGGAGACATACTGTGAATAGTGAAATGGACACAGGTAAGTCTTTCTCAAGGATCATAGAATACAAAAGGGCTAAAAGCATGACTACCAGAGGCAGGTAATGCTTCAACGGCGAGGAGAAGTCATCTACTGCCTTTTATACTCCTGGCTCTTGTTAAGATGAACTTCAGGTGTTTACATTTTGGCACCATCTAGTGTCTTCAGAGCAGCAGGAAAAACAGGAACTTCCTGGTGGTGCAGAGGTTAGAGAGGTGGGCCTGTGATCGGAAGATCGCCGGTTCATGCCCCGGTACTGACAACATCAAAAATGTGGGTGGGGTAGGTGAAGCACCCACACTTGCCCCCACCCTCATTCGCCCCACTCTGGGCCCATGAGCAAGGCCCTTAACCTCCACCATGTGCTCCCTAAACAGGTCTCTTTTGAAAATGAGTTTTCGTGGCTCAATGAGACTACCTGTATAAATAAAGGGTAACTGAAAAAAAAAATTGAAAAAATGCGTTTAACATGTGCAACATGTATGGAAATCCTGAGCAATCAGCATCATCTAGCAAAATACTTTCAATTCAATACTTTCTCTTCTGAGTATTTCAAAATATATTGTGGTGGCTAAGAAAACACAAAATATCCCTTCCAGAACCAGTATTGGTTCATTTATTCAGTGTTATGATTAGATCAGAGTCCTAATGAACCGTCAGGAGGCTGCAGAGACATAAAAGATGTAAACCTGTGACACCGAGGGAACCTGGATTTATTTTCTTCCAATTAAAACCTAATTAAAGCATTTTAATACTTTCAGAATAATGTGTTACACTAGTCAATTTATTAATGCATTGCTGCCAGTTGTGAATGTGTCTTATTAATTTATATCAACATTTTTAATATATTATTTTTTAATATTTTAAGGTATTAACCATTTTAATGCTCATGTGTGTGTATTTTTTTTTTATCATATCATGTGCTGCCAAATATACAAATACCATTTATAAATAAAGTCACCATTCTAATTTATGACAGGATTTGCATTTGCACGAAACATGAATTCAGCTTTCAAACATTTTGGTAAAAGTTATTTTATTCTTTTGTTTTTGGGAAATTATTTGACTCTTTGTGATTAAAAATAAATAAATTATGACATAAAATGTTGTATACAGGTTTCTGTGAAAGTTTAAGCGCTGCCTTCTATGTTTGAATGATTTCCTCTGACTCAGTCAATTAGATTTTTTTTATTTATTGGTTTATTGGCATGATACCCCCCTCCTCCACCACAGGTTGTCGCTCTGTGTTAGCTGCTACAAGCGATTGATTAGTTCTCAACAGGAGATGGTCAGATACACAAAATGGGCTCCATCCACTTTGTGTTTTGTACTCTAAAAATATCAATACAAACTGCAGCTTATTACCTAACGACACATCTTTCAATCCTGCTGTTTGTAGAGCAGTTCTAAAGAGAAATGATTCTTCTCTCAGGAAGGAGTTTTTGCAATTGAATAAAGAAAACAAGAAACTTTTCAATTTTTTCCATTTGTATTTTCCTACCAGGGAGGTGGGATGAAGATTGTTGACAGAAGGTTTGGCCAGCCTGTGTACCCGTCTTCACCCAGCACCAAACACATCGTTCTCCTTCCAGAGAACTTCCTGCTTTCAGAAACGGACCAACCGATGAGCAGGAGAGACTTTCTGTCTGTGCTGGTCAATGTAACGAGTGTGATGGTGCGGGCCTCGTACAGCACAGAAGCCAGCGCCGTTTACAGGTTTGAACCAATAACGTGTTAACGTGACGCATAGTGTGATTTTCAAGCTCCAATTTTAAACTTTCTTGACCGTAAACATGGTGTACAGTAATAAGCTAGGGATGCACCGATCCACTTGTTTTCATTGCCAATACGATACTCGCTGTTTTGTATCGTTCTATACCGATCCGATACTGATATGATCCAGAATTTTTTTTAGAGTTATCTTACTTTATCATGCTGACATCCCCGGTCTTGTCTGCCCAGAGACGGGACAGTTATGGCCCGGTTCTGTACAGATGAGACGGGCCCAGCTGCGCTGAGTGAGCTTCCTAGGGTCAACACCCGATGAGTATTTTTTTATTTTTACTGGCTTCCATCACGTAGATAGATTTGCACTTTACACCCATTTTTCACCATCAGAAACGAATGAGGCCAATGATGTCACACATAGTCACCCCACTGATACACTCTGATAGGCTGTGCTCCCGGAAGAAGGCGGAGCCTAGTGCCAAGAAAAAGGACGGAGGGTTGAGCCACGTCAGCTCTTCCGGTTTTGTGAGCTCCTTGCGTGTCGAGTCGGAGACATTCAGCGCTGAAACTGTAATTTTCTCTTGCCTGATGAACATGAAATTGGTCAACGGAAATTATATCTATTGATTTATTTGAGTTGGAGTGAGTTTCCTCTCCATCTGGGAATAAAAGAACCAGAGAGTTGGACCGGTTTCAGGGACGGACCCGGTCCAGATTCTCACACATTGCTGAATTAACTTTAAACATTTGTTTTTTTTTAAATGCAGACATAAATGTACTGAATTACAAATTTATTGAAAACTGCACCAGTACAGCACACTTAAACGCACCAGTAGCTTCACAAGCTTGGTCAAATATGTAAAAACAACATAACTTGAATTTGTTCAGTGTAACACTCAATGTAAAGTAAATAAAAATAAAGACACTGAAACTGACAAAAACAATCGGTTGACAACTTTTGTCAAACATGAAAAAATAAACGTCAACAAACCTTTCAAATGGTTCAGGAATTCTAAATATAATTTAAAATAAATAATAAAGGAGCTGAAATAAGAGGAAAAAAACAGTAACTTCACTAGCTTGGTTGGCAGATATTTAAAATAAACAGCAATCAACTCCTGTCCTTATGGATCAGTCACATTGTCAACGATATCCGATCAAGATTTTTTTTCCCGATATTGGTACCGATATTACTATCAGATCGGTGCATCTCTACGGTGATACCCGATCAAGAATTTTCCGGTACCGATACTAATATTGGCTTGGTGCAACTCTACCGATACCATATCGCGATTTATTATCAATACCAGTTCTGATACTAATACTAATATCGGATCGGTGCAGCACTATAATAAGCACTTAAACAGTTTAATTTAATGAAAATAACCAACTTCCACAGACTTGAAACTCACAGGTAGTTCTTTACCATGCCCTCTGGATGTTTCTTCTGTACACATTTCTTAAGATTAAGATTTTATGAATTACTGTAATCCTTTTTTTTTTTTTGTCTGAGTGTGAAATCCACTAGGCCAAAAGGGTTATGTTGAATATTTATGTGTGTGTGTGTGTGTGTGTGTAGACTCCACTCATTCTTAATGCAGGCAGCCGATCCTAACGCCAAAGGAGAGAGAGCGCCGGCTGTAGAAATGTGTACTTGTCCTCCTGGATACGCTGGATTATCCTGTGAGGTAAACTCAAAATACAAAAATCAACAGAGTAGATGGTCTGTTTCTACAAAGGTAGATTTAAAAAAAATGCATCTATATTGTCCTTTAAAATCAAACTTGATTGCGTCAACACATGTTTAATTTATTTGCTTAGTTATTATTACTGAGGCAATCTTAAATGTTTATTCATTTATTTACCAGTGCTTCTTATTTTTGGCGCCACTGTCTTTTTGTCGACTCAGCCATTGAAATCATCAGAACAAACGGTCAACACAGCAAAAGCTCGAGTACGACTCCTGTCTCGTGTGTTTCAGGTTTGCATCGCAGGTTACCGGAGGGTTTATGGACATTTGTACCACGGCTTGTGTGAACCTTGCCGTTGTCATGGACACAGTTTGCAGTGCCACGAGGTGACAGGCCACTGCCTGGTAAGATGAACAATTAGCTCAATATGTCTCATTGTTTGGGTTTCCTTTCAAAGATGATGTTTGACAACAAAACTGTCGTGTGGTGGAGGTGTGAAACAGAAGACACTAATGCACATAGACTGCCCAAGGACAGGCAGGACATGTAAATGAAATACTATCATTAAAATAATAATAAAGAAACCATAATAGTGAGACTAACATGAACAGGCAAAGGTCAGTAACCAACAGAAAATACGAAACTAACAAGAGTATATGCTGAGTACCATATTTTTCGCACCGAATTATAAAGCGCAATATCAATAAACGGGTCTTTTTCATACATAAGATGCACCGGATTATAAGGCGCATTATGCAAAAGTAAAACTTTTTGACAGATTTTTGAGCACCGTGTACAATATAAGATCGGTTTGAGGTCAGTAAGCACAACCAGGATTAATACATAAAGCACACTGGATTATAAGGCTCACTGTTGATTTTTGAGAAAATTAAAGGATTTTAAGTGTGCCTTATAGTCTGAAAAATATGGTAAAAATAACTGACACAGTGTGGGACAGATATTTAGTGAGGCTAAATAAATACCACAAGACTATAGAATGTGAAAAACAAAATCAGAACCAGACACAAGTAAAAAATAAAACTCAAGTTACAAAACCATATAAACACTGTGTGGAAATAACCAAAATACAAGATAGTTTTATAAATCACAACACAGAAACCTCTAACAAAAACAGACCAACAACAAAATATTGGTTCTTTTTTTTATATATATTTTTTCCCATGTGCTAAAAATCCCATTTTGGAAACGGCAACAATATAATCTTTGTGAAGAGTTCCTTTTTACCTCTTATAAAATTGTGAACAATATTTTGAATCTACATTATGCTTCTATGCTCGTACTTAAATTGATCTGCTTATACTTTGATGTATAAAGTGACTTTTTCATTTACTAATTTACCTAATTTAGACGAGCTGCTCAGGAATAAAAACAAATCCGTAATTTCCAGTTTTGGTCACGTCTTAAAGGCCGTTCCTTTTGTTTGGCAGTAATTTTGGCACTACTGTATTACTACTAACTTTGGGACAAAATACTCAAACTGTGAGGGTTTTCATTTAAAAGTAAGACTAGTTACTGCATGACCTGGTGGGGGGAAGAAAAAGAAAATGTATATCTTTGACAATGGAGTCTCATGTCTGCCCCCTAGTGGATATGCGTGGAACTGCAGGGTGATGCACTTCTTGTTAACACACACTCTTCATAATTTATTCAAAATACACATATAGGCACGCACATACACACACATACGTGTTATCCCTCTTCTGTGCATCTCTTCATGCTCACTCCCTAGTCTACCCACAGCCTTAGGCTATTGCTGTCAGTTTCCATTGCTCTAAAATCACACCTACTAAAACGCACACAGAGAATGCACACACACACACACAGAGACCGGTTGGTTTTGTATTACCATGTTATGTTTCATTATAGATGAGGAGGATCGGATGTGTCAAAGGGAGGCACACATTGAGAAAACAAAACAAAACAAAAAACAGACAGTCAGGGAGGATTTCTTAAATACACACAGACACACACACACAATGTGACATTACCTCACTCACAGCCACACTACCTGTCTCGTGTGTGCACACAGTGACAGACAGGCAGTCAGGAGCATCCACCACACCTTCGCTGACAGCTGTGATTTTTAGCTGCAGCTGAATAACTGAACGACGCCACGGACGTACAGGTTAAGCTGCCGTGCATGTGTCAGTGTGTTTTAGCCGTGTAAGGTCATCTGATCGATGATTTGGAACACCAGTGGCATACAAACATTTTTACACCAGAGAAACTGGAAATGTTGCTGAAGCCACGAGGGAAAAAAATGGAAATAACATTTTGTTTTTTCAAGATTGGTAATAAGATTTTTTTTTTTTTTCATTTACACTTTATTTATCCAGGTAGTCTCATTGAGCCACGAGAACTCATTTTCAAGAGAGGCCTGTTTTGGGGAGCAGATGGTGGAGGTTAAGGGCCTTGCTCGGGGGCCGAGGGAGGGGCGAATGAGGGTGGAGGCAGGTGTGGGTGTTTAACCGTTTCCACCCACATTTTGATGTTGACGGTACTGGGAGTTGAACCTGCGACTTTCCGATCACAAGCCCATCTTCTAGCCTCTGCGCCACCACTCCCCCCAATAAGATACCTCCCAAAACGGCAACAAATCTTTGTATCTTGCGTCCACCTAACTAATTAAAAAAGTGTTTTCTGCATCTTCTTTTTAAAACTGATTTATTGTTTATCGCGACAGGCCTACTAGTCAAGTCTTCCTGCGACTTACAGTAGTTTGCTGTGGCGATCAACTCACTGAATTAAAACCATTTTCATGTTTGGCTAACTATAAAATTTACTAATTTGTACATGTACATTTATCCAATGATTACTTTCTATGGGTTGCATTAAAATGTGTTCATGAGATATTTTGCTAACAGGAAGACAGATGAACACACATTTTTACACACACGGACAGAGAAACATTTTCAATTACCTGGTCGATTGCCCGCCTTTTACGGCAGCCGGCAAGATCAAACAACTCGATATCAGTTCATTTATAGAATATCGATGGTAACAAATAATCCATCCGGAGTTGAGTCGTGGGGGCAGCAGCTTGAGCAGGGAGGTCCACACATCTCTTTCCACAGCCGTCTCTCCATCGTGTCCTGGGTCTTCACCAGGATCTCCTCTCCGTCAGACTTGACCGGAAAACTTCCCGAGGGAGGCGCCCATGGTGCATTGTTACCAGATGCCCAAACCACCTCAACTGGCTCCTCTGGATGTGAAGGAGCAGCAGTTCTACTCAGTCTCTCCTGGATAACGGAACTTCTCACCTGATCTCAAATGACACTTTGCCACAGTCTCTACACTCACTGGTTCTGCACCACCCTGCTCTAGTTGCACCAGTTAAGGGCTTGTCCACTGCCAGTACCCAACCCCCCTCAGCCTGGTTTATGGAACCATCTTGTTTGTGGTTCCAACAGAACTTCTCCGAGGTCATGATTTTGATGGAAACAAGCAGCAGCTGTTGATTGGCCGGCGGAGCTACGTCACTGGATGACCCGCCCATCCGTCTTACAGATTTTTCAAAAACTCAGCTTCAAATTTATTTTACGTCTCCATGGCCCATAAGGAAAGGTATCACCCCCCCCCCCCCCTCCTTGTCCTCCCCGCCTCTATCGCAGTTCACCAACCGGTACACAGCTTCTTCTTACAGTCCAGCTCCTACTTCACCACGATGGACCGGCACAGAGTCCGCAATACTGCAGAAGCTGCACCGATCCGTCTGTTGATCTCACGCTCCATTCTCCCCTCACTCATGAACAGAACCCCAAAATATTCACTCGTCCACTTGAGGCAGAACCTCTCTCCCAACCCACTTTAATCCCACGTCACTATAAAACAATATTCCTGAAACTACTTGGACCTGATGCAACACATGCATGGTTTTGTTGTGTGAACATTTTAAGATACTTTAACCATTTTTAATTCATGTTTTAATTAGGTTAAGGATAACTTTTTCATGTGTGAGTTGAAACATTTTTGTAGCTCGTACCTTATATAAACCTTGCAGCTGAAATACCTAAAGTTGACAAAAATGTTAACTATTTAATTGAGGATTGTTTAAACAGTATGTTCCTTAATGGGACAAATAATGAAGAAATAATAAACATAGTTAATAAATTTGCAGATAAAAAATCCAAAGATTATATAGATATGGATATGACGTTTGTAAAGGACATAATAGGTCATGTAATTGAGCCATTTACATACATATGTAATTTGTCCTTTACAACAGGAGTATTTCCAGATCAAATGAAAGTGGCGAAGGTGGTTCCTCTTTTCAAAAGTGGTGATAAATGTTTATTCAATAATTACAGACCGATATCTTTGTTACCACAGTTTTCAAAAATATTGGAAAAACTATTTGTTAGTAGATTGGACAAATTTGTTGTGTAGTGAGTCACGTGAGGTACGTGTCACTTGTAGTATGACAATATA